GACACTCTAAAATCAACAAGCAAGCATAATTCCAAAGCTTGTAATACACCAACCAAATCTATTGCGTATCACCGAAACCGGTTTTCCAATCGCGGACCCCCCATAAAACAACCTCTGGCAACTGCGCTGAAGCCGGACGTGATATCAAGAGAAGCCCGACTGCCTGCGGATTATTCTACGCGAACGCTCCCTAGCCGTCGTTACGAAGGGAAGTCTGCTTGTCAAACATATTCGCAGAAATGTCAGGTAAGGAAGACTGCAGTGTGGATGTATATGCGCTTATATGCGTACATCTATATATGTGTCTTTACGTCTATGTGCACATATATATACATAGACATACATACTTACATACACACACACATATATATGTGTATGTGTATGTGTGTACATTTAGCCTTGTGTGTATATATATATGTATATATACATACACACATAAAGAAATTTGAAAAAATGTCCTTCGCAAACCCCAGTTTGAAAGCTAGACTTTTCCCGCGTAAAACAAATCCCATTTTCCGAGGCTGTGTCAAACAAACAAACAAACAAAAAACGTTGTATCGGCTTTTCAGTCATAGTCATCATAAAACCCTCATCAACTGTAGCAATACATGTAGAAGAAGCGATTTATGGATTATAGACTGAATTCGCGCGACCATAGTTCCTTCATTCGTGGAGTTTATAGGAAGATGCTGGAATGATTTAATTACATAATTAGAAACATGATTAATTGCCTTTGTTGTTTTATTTTCGCATTCCATATCTGTCAACTGATATGACAGATCAATGCTATTTATCAGATTCGTATTGAAACTGGGCAGCTGAACGAATGACATCAGGCGATAGATTCATGTAGAGTCTAAATGAAAACGAAATAAGAATCACACTCCCATGTAACCGATATGTTTTAAATATGAATATTGAAACATGCGGCTCTTATGCTTTTTTTTTTTCTTTTGTTGTTTAGATATTCATTATTACTATCTTGAGTTTTATGTGGCTTTATACGTACCTTGGCGGTGTGCGCAGACCAACAGCGCAGCCAATAAACATACAGGTAAAGGTCGTACCAGCTACCAAATATCTATTTCCTGTTCCACAATTTAACTATAATTGATCGTTGCAATCCATCCATTTTTATATATAAAAATATTTTACTTATTCTGACATAACCAACATAATACAAACAACAAAATATGCGTGGGGATTACCCATTTTTTATCATAGTTACCCCCCGAAATGCAATATCTGGCAACAACCAGCGTCAGGTAAAGCAAGTCGGTTTCAGAGCGGTTGTCACTACACGAACGCCCCTAACCATCGCAAGTCATAAGGATCTGTGCCTAACTGGGAGCTTTTTCACGATGGCAGGTACGCAAGAACGGTGTGTTGTTAGCTATTCGTGTAAGAGAAATATGTTAGTATATCAGTCACTTGTTTACATAACGAAAAATCTGATCGATTTCTACATTACTGTCGTGCGTTATCCTAGTGTCTTGCCTTACAAAAACAGCCAAGTTATCTCATGTACTTTACACCTGTATTCAAATAATTTTCGTGAATATTTGGCATTAATTTACTTATGTGCGTAAACAAACGTCTGAATTGCCAATTAATAACTTCCACTTTTAAGAGCTTTTAACATAGACAATTAAGTTATATCGACAATGATCGGCATCACGGTTGCTTCTTTTCCGAAATTGGTATTACATCTTGCGATAATTTGATGAAATCAAGATGACGTTGATATATTAGTATGTGTGCATCTGCATGAATGGTAATATGTTTATACTTCTTTCTACATGTTTCCATTCATGAGTGTATGTGTGATTTTTAACATGAGTGGAATTCTCAATGCATTTGCTTATTTCTGTACCCGCGAATGTGTGAGTATAATAGTTGCCTATCGGTCATTTAGAGATAAAAGAGAGATATTCTACTCTGATTGCAGTCCATTACAATATAACAAACGTTTATCAAAGTATTTCAGCATTAGCCATATTTGCTTAAACCGAAAAACCCACTGCTTTCGTAGATTCCCCTGCCCTCTCCTGACGAAATCGCACGGCAGGAAGTGACTATTATCGCTTGAAAGCAAGCGGCACTTGCAAGGCGAGGCAAGTTTCCGCCATGCAACGAAAAAAGTGCTGCGTCACCATGATTCTTGCAATGCAACGGAGCGGGTCGGGCCGAGGAGTGCGTTCATTCCTGCTTTGTCTTCTCTCTTTTCTTTTAATTACTTATAACGTGAATATCGAAAGGTTTTCCTTACTTTTTCCTTATTGTATCTAATGAATTTGAAGATAACAGTGAGTCTGGAAAAAATAGTAACGGTAATAATAACGAAGGAAGTTATTATCTCGGATAAACTTTGCCTGGAATTAAGATAAAAAGGGTTTGTAATCCATAGACTCGGTTTACCTTGTTCGTCTCTTATCTCTTGTGATAGATTTATTAAAACGTACGCGATAAGGGCCATGAGGCGTTTTTTGCGCTTTGATTGATTTTCTTGTCACTTTGTCTCCGTTTTGTTTTTCTTTTCATTTATATTCCCTTTTTTTCATTATTCGTCACAGTCTCCCCCCTCCCCTCTCCTGTACCAGCCCTACTACCACTTCCCCTTCCCCTCCCTTCCATCTTCATTTTTCTGCTTCTTTTCCTCCTTCTTTTCTTCTTGTTCTTCTTCTCCGCCTGTTTCTTCCTCTACTTCTCCGCCTATTTCCTCTTCGTCTATTTCTTCATTTTCTGTTCCGTCTACTTCTTCTGAATCCTCTTTTTCGTGTTTCTTCTCCGTATATTTCTCCTTCATCATCATCATCTCCTTCCATGTCTCTTTCTTCTACTTCATTATCTCCATCTACTTCTTCCTCTCTTCCGTCTATTTCTTCTACTTTTTCTTTATCGCGTCCTCTTTGTCGTCGTCGTTATCCTCCTCCTCCTCCTCCTTCTCTGCCTCTTCCTTCTTTTTTTTTCTTTTTCTTTCTGAGCTATTGAACGTCGGGACTTCTGATGCGAAATTCTGAGCCCTGTAGCTCGAGCGGCAATAGAAAGGGTGGTTGCAAGCTGGAGTTAGGAAGGGTGCGTGTCGGTTGACGCTTTGCATGCAAGGGCGTTGCTGAGGACGATTATGTTGGTTGTGACGACGCGTCCTGTCGACGGCTCTCCTCCGCTTTGTGTTGATAGTGATAATGATTCTTTTATTTACTTGCGCTTCCTTTTTTGAATGTTCGTGTGGTTTCCTTTGTTTTGTTTTGTTTTGTTCATTATTTTGCTTTCTTTTAGGTTTTGGTACAATGTACGTGTTCTGAAAATCGTACATTTGATGCAGAGAATTTTCTTTTTAATTAAAGAAAGGGTTTGTAGGAGATTTGCACTGTATGGGCTACTGTATTGAGAAAATGTAGATGATAAGAACGGAAAATTGAAATCAGACATGGAAAAAGGGAGACAAAGATGGAGATGAAGACCTATATTTCTATGAAAGGAAAAGGAGAATTAAAATTAGAAGCACAGGGATAATTGGTAAGATTATAAAATGTGACAGGCACTTTGATTCGTCACAACTGGAAGCAATATTTTCAAAATCGATAATAAAATACTTAGCACATAAAACTTAGAGAACTGTCAGCTTTAATTGACCCAAATATTATCTTTTATAATATTAATTAGTTCTTGAATTCATCATGAAATTCTTTCTCTCACAGACTCCCGACTTCAACTAGAATCAATCACTTAAAAAACAAAGTCTCAAAATCGATAATGTAGATCTAATCATGCAAATACCAAGATAACTACCCGTTTAAATGGCCCGTAACATGAAAATAAAAACAACACCCTCTTTTACACTCATCTGACGTCTTCTTTCTCCCACAGACATCGAATTCAGTGACCTCTCGAGCAACCTCTCCGACTATGTGGTCATCGACGTGAGGAACCGAAATGAGGTCGAGGACAACGGCCAGATCCCCGGCTCGCACTGTATTCCATGTATGTGCTGTTTATACTATTTCTTGTTAAAGATAGAGAGCCTCACGGTTATTTCAGCTGAATTAGGTCGTTTTTTCAGCTGAATTAGGTCGAGTTTAGTGATTTGTGTGTAGTTCTGTGTATATGGATAGTAGTTTATATAGTGATTTGTGTGTAGTTCTGTATATATGTCGGATAGGATGTTGAGGATTATAGGGCTAAAATTACCATTTCGTTCGTGGCTACTCGTTTTGAAATCGTGATGTTTATGATATTAACGCTAAGACCATAGATGTCATTCATGTATTTTCATATAGAAACCAAGAGAGAGTGCCGAATAAAACCCAAAGTTTCAACGTTCCAGTGCCAGAGTTGGAGTCCGCGATGGACCTGAGCGAGCACGATTTCGAGGCCAAGTACGGGTTCGAGAAGCCTTCGACATCCACGTCCATTGTCACCCACTGCATGAAGGGGGGTCGTGCCAGGAGGGCCGGGGATCTGTTCAAGTCGAAAGGATACCAAGCCAGGTGGGTTGGTTTCCAGTCAGTCGAAAAAGACGTTTGGGTTTCCGTGCGTCGATGACCTAGACAGGTGGGTTTGTTTACATTTGGTCTAGAGGTCAAGTTGAGATGGACTCCTTTCGGCTAAAAGGTAGGAAAGAATTACACGTTCTTCGGTTTTCTTACTCCTGAATTGCTAATATCGTTTAGACAGATAGACCCCTAACTTATATAAATCATATGATTATACACCATTAAATTAATTTCCATTGTCATTGCTTCTATTTCATACCGTTCCTAAATCCTTCCTTATCTGATTTTCCAGGGTATATGAAGGCTCATTCACGGACTGGAAGGCCAAAGGGGGTGACATTGTTCCCGGAAAACCTTGAGAGAAGCGGAGAAAATGCCGTTTCCGTCGCACCAATTCAACTAACTGAGAATAGAATGACACGTTTGATACATTGGCATTTTATTGCACGGTGCCACTTTTGTAACTTTACTGATTTTGTTTGTAATAAATTCATAGGAATGCAG